CCCAGGACCTCATGATGAGCAACCGAATTTCGACCACGAAACCAACGGGGCAGTATGCTAGTCTAAAGTATATTATATCACACTAACTTTTATCTGCGATTTCACCCGCGTACAACTTTAGCAAAAATAGTGCAGATCTATAATAGTGGTTTCTGTACAAGTAAGTTTGATTACCGAGAAACCACTTTAAAACTATGTGCAACATGCGAAAATATTTTAAATGAAATTTGTTTTCAATTTTGTCTTCGATAAACTTTACGTTGAAAAGACTATTTTTCATTATTAATGGATAACCAAATACGTAACATTGGGTTCATTAAACTATTAAAACTTATATTTTTGTTGTAAAATGTTGTTGAAGTAACAAAAAATGTTGTCTCAAAATTTTAAACGATAGAAGAATTATCATGATCTTTTTCTGTAAACTATAGCAAAACAAAAAGATTTAATCAAATATCTTTATCTTATGTCATTTTTTTAAAATAGTTATCATTTATTTTTAAAGTTTTTCAATTTTACAAAAAGAAATTCCCCATGTTATTCGGACAAAATATAATACGCTTTTTTATAGGATAGGGTATACAAACGAGCACACAGTCCACCAGATGATAAGTGGTTGCTGTGGCCAGTAGACAGACTGCATCTATCCTCGATTACGAATCGAAACGCGTTGTCACCCGTGACGACTAAGATGGAATGCCACGTTTCCAATAAAAAGGGTCTCCGGTTCTCTATACTCACCATACGAAACACAGCAGCATTAATTTATTATATGTATTCTGTGAGAGCGTGCTCCTTCCCCGGTCGAGCCGACCCATTCATGCTACAACTATACTACTGATATAACTGCAGCATGGCTCTAGCACGTATAAAACCATCAATTCATGAAGTCTCATTGTGATCAGTGCAGCTATTCCGAAGAACAGCTCGGACATAAGGACAGAGAGATAGGCACGCACAAAATATAAATATACAATAATAAAGCAGGTTTTTAAATTGCTATTCATGTGATAACACAACGCAAATATCCTCTAAATGGCAGTTGTTTCAATATAATTCAAATCAAACAAAATTAAAAAAAACATCGCAATAATGATCATGATTCAATCTGTGAGCTATGTTTAGTAGAAGACCTGTAACAGATGATGATGATGATGATGAAGCTTATCGTATATTATACTTTTTTGATAATCGTTTTCATTCACCACCGAGGACGTGCTAAGTTAGCAATTAAATTTTCAATTGCGCTCGCGAGTATCGAACCTGGCTTGCTCCTGTACTATGAAATTTAAGGCGAGGACTTAGCCTTGAAATACCTTGCTGTAAGAGCACAAGGTACACCTGATGGTAAGTTGATATTGTGGTAGTCATCTACAACACTCCTCGATTAGAAATCAAGACGTGTTGTCACCCCTGAGGACTAAGATGGAATGCCTACCTGTAAAAGGTTGTCCGTATTAATAAGCTGCTAATTAATATTAAGCTGCTATTTTGGTATTCTGTGAGAGCGTGGTCCTACTCCGGTTGAGCCGACCCATTCATGCTACAGCCATAGTAGAGCTGCAGCGTGGCTCTACCATGTACAAAATGTCTTTAACTGTAATTTATAACTTAATGACTAAGTTACGTATTTAAGAAATATAGTAAACGGCTAATAAGAATTTCTTTTTTTTTTTTAAAGTTAATTAGGAATAACAATATAAAACCATGCCATGCTATTTAAAAAACATGTTTCACATTGTTGCTTTGACGTCAACGGGCAGTCCTCAGACGAAATAAAAAAGTCGAGTTGTAAAAAGCGTACGTGTGTAGATGGAAAATTTGTATTACAAAATATTTATTAGAGCGATTCCATTCGTTCCATAGACTTTTTAAATGACAGAGTCAGTCTGCAGATATACTTTAGTTACAGCAATACTTAGAAACGACAGTAGCGTAATGACAGGTTGCGGACCGCGAACTCAAAAGGTCGTGGATTCGAATCCGTCATTCGACAACTTTCGTGAACCACTCCTAACACAAGCATTTTAAGTTTACTAGGAGTGGTTACAGAGAATATTAGTAATGTGTTTAGCACTACAACAATTTTTAAATCAATAATTAAAAAAGTTAAAGCAAGAATCGGTCAGTCTGACCGAGGTAGGACCACGCTCTCACTAAATACTAGCGTGAAATCCACTTACCATCAGGTGGACTATGTGCTCACTTGCCACCTTATACTATAAAAAAACAGTAGAATAATGCTGCTATGTCTTGTATGGTGAATTAGATGAACCGGAGAACATTTTTACTGGAAACGAGGTGTTCTATTTAAGTCTTTTTTTTTTGTATCGATTGATTTGTTCTCTAAAACAAAACAGTATTCTCGGGAATAGCCCAGCAAAAACCGTCCCATTGTATTTCTTGTTGAATTCTATGTTTAAGTCTGAAGTTACCGTGTACGCAACAATAACCTTTAAAATGCACTGCTAAGGCTTATAATCGTTTTATAAATAGAAGTATGAAGGTCTATTTATGTTATAAATCGACGTGTATGTCGCGGCAGTTCCAAGGTCTAATGTATTATATAGACTAAGTAACAACAGAATGGTTATGTGCTCAGTTTTGTTGCCTACAAGTAATTCAATTCTATGAGGGCTGTTAAAAGATTTTTTTTTTATAAAACTGAAGTGCAAATTAAACTCCAACTGAGAGACATCAGTCCACCTGATGGTAAGTGGCTACTGCAGTCCTCGGACATCAGCAGCCAGCTCCATACAAAGAAGGCTAATGATTTCTATATTTACGCAAACACTAATCATTTAAATAAAACAAATTTTCACGGATTTCACCGCGTATATTATTTTATGTTCCAGTTGTTTTGAGCATTTCACAGCACCCATGGGGTCGCCGACGTCCCAATGTCATACGACTACCTCCAGATTAAAATTATTAGTTTTTGTTCCGATCTGCGCAGTATGAACTTAACTTCAAGTCTTGCAGTATGCTTGAGTTGGGATTTAATTTTATTAATTATACTATCCCAAACAGATGGTAGCACCCACCCATCTTCTATATTGAAATTATCATGTTTTTTAAACTCCAATAAAATTTGCCTTGCAAATCATCCTTGGAAGGATCCTGTACGTGGTCACAGACTGCAGACTTCTCCGAGCGTCAGTTCTTCACAATCATGTTTTGCCTTTCCCCTCCCCCCTAATGATCAAGGGTACTATAAAGTGCTCGAAACATCGGAAATATAAAATAAGTTAATATATGCGATAAAATCCTTAAAAACTGGTTTTATTTAAACAAGGAAGGCTACAGATGCGTCGTAACCTCTGAGGACTGAGATGTAACACCTCACAACCTGTCATTATACTGGCTCCGTATACTGTATATCCATCTGTGTATCCATCAGACTGAAACACAGCAAACCAAGCACTGCTTTTTGGCGGCAGAAACTGGTAAGAGATTGGTAAGATATTATACGTTGTTAACGATGAGTTTGAAACGAATACTGGACTCCTTTTATAATGCTAATATTTTTTTATTTATTTAGGATGTCAATAAAATATGCTCCAGGTATGCAACAATTTGGAACTTTGTGTCCCTTTAAAGAGTCCTTTAAAATTATGCCTCATTTTCACCCATGCCTATTATACATAGTAGTGAAGCTGCATGTTTTTTTTTTAATTTTTAATTTGAAAGTTTACTAAAAATTATTGAGAAAAATTTAAAAAAAAATTAACAATTGATTTTTCTAAAATGTAAATTCAAGCACCAGTGGCGTCATTATATCGCTTTAATAACGCTCGATACTCATGTTATAAAAAAAAATTGTCATTACAATACGGATAATGTATAAAATTACGTATTAATATCGTATGACACGGTGATCCGAATATAGAAAATATAAAAGTGTAATATGATTGCGATTGGCCCACAGCCTCAACGAATGATATAGTGACGTCACAACGAATCACGAGTCTCTTTTATTTTCATTCAAAAATTTTACCGTTTTTATTCATTTTTATTAAAAAAATGGAATTTTTCATTAAAAAAATATTTAAATATACTTACATACTTTAAATGAATTATTCTTCATTTATATATAAATTTCTAAAAATTAATGCACCTTCTCTATCATCTGACTGAACTGGTATTGAATGCTTGTACTCAAATTAATGTTTTACTAAGGAGTCAAAACGATCCTCATTATATTTACATGTCTTTACCAGATTATCCATGGTCAGTGTGTTCTTTTATTTCATTTTGGCCAGATATATTTATTAGACACAGGTTTGGAGATGTAACCAGGTTATTAATAGATTATGAGTGTCTTGGACTCAAGATTAAGTATCGATTAACCTCGTGTAGAAGGTGTCCATATTCTTAAATTGAGCTATCTACAAACTTAAGTTTTGGCATAAAACCTATACTTATGTTATCAACAATATCACATGACTCGTCACCATTCTTATTACAGCCTATCAAAGTTCACTATTGAACATAGACCTCTCTCGTAAGAGGAATACCTGCCATAGTTGCCACGCTTGGAAGACTGGTTTGCAATAGTAGTTTTTTTTTTTTCATTTTCTTGTTGTTATCAGGAAGACGCTGCTGCCTATTTCCTGGTTTGTTTCCCTCCGTCGCCTCTTACGACACCCAGGGCGCTATTTTGGATAGTAAGTTATTTTGGACTGTAAGTTCGTTTATCACACATGTTTTTATAAAAAAGACCGCTTGGCAAAATCTAGTACCTTCGTATTTTTTTTAATTACTACCTAAATTGTATTCTATGTTTTATAATATATTTTGTAAGCAATGTACACAGTTACTAGGTAAAATGAATTCTATTTAAATTCAATTCACGGCCATACATAAATTTAATATTTATGACCTGTCTATAGTACTGTTTGCCTTTGCCACTTCGACGGGGTTTCGCAGTCGTTTGACTAGGCAGTGTTTTGATTACCAAGCAGTCCGCAACTAACTCTCGATTTGCTCACTCGTTGGCAATGTTTTCGAAACTTTTAATATTTATATGTGTCACGATAGTTTCAGCACGCAACGTTTACTACGAGCAGTTGAATCCTATATCTAGTCAAATACGTAGAGTACCTTCTTACAATAATGAAAGAATAGAAAATCTAAATGAACCTGAAACTGCAAGAAATATTCAACTAAGGCCTATCAACTATGATCCCAAAACTGTTGTTGATACTGCACCAGTGTATGATAATCGAAGGGAAAATGAATTCCCTGAACGATTGTTTACAAATGTTAGAAACGACCAACAAAACAAAAATATAAAATGTATAGAAAGGTTGAATCATGAAGAAAAACCAGAACTTATAATCATACACGAGAAAGTGAATTATGAAAAAACACCACCATTCACAAACAAGAGAAGACCAGAAATGGATGACACGATAAACTCGACGGCGATGCAAACAAGGAAGAATATGAGACCTACAACATACCCTACGGTAACACACGGAAGCAAAGAATTACCTCATACATTAGATGGGCGACCTCGGGCAAGGACGAAAGATAATCAATCAAATCTCTACGAAAACAGTTCACTCGATATCAATACATTAGAAACGACTACATTAGGAATTGAACTTGAAGATAGAGTAGCATTTGAAGGTGATAAATGTGCGACAGGCTTTGTAAAAGTATATGGAAAGTGTGTTAAAGAACAATGAAGTATTATTCATGAGATGAACCTAGTGATATTGATCCCAAAGGTGGGCACGGGTCTCATCTCATTTGTGAGAGGGTTTGGAAGGAAGGAAGAATCCGCCGAACTGCGCTAATGTGAGCTAGAGAACATATCATCGAAATATGTTTAAATTAGCATAATGCCGGCTACACCACGAGCAATTTACCGCTAAAGAGCATTTAATAAACAAGATTCACGGTTATTAACTGTATCAGTAGTGCCGTTATTTGTATGACATAATTAATGATAAAATAAAAATTAAATTAACCGTGTTTTATACTTATAAGTTGAAAATTAATACTTTACAAGTTGTGTGTGTGATTAAATTATTTCGAAACTCGCTTTGACAATTGTTTAAATTTATTGTGACCTTTATTTTTTATTGTAAAGTCACGTTATTTTTTGTTGAATTTGAATTTGACTGTATATTTTTTAGTTAGGTAAGGATGACAAACAAGGGCTTAAAACCCAGTAAGTGGATGGAAATATTTTTGCATAGAATAACGATGACAAACGTGCACTCAGTCCACCTGATGGTAAGTGAATACAGTGACATCTATAAAGAATTGACATGCAGATGCGTTGACATCCATGAGGACTAAGATAGAATAGCTCATTTCTATTAAAAAGGGTCTCAGTTTCTCTACACTCACCGTACAAAACGGAGCAGTATTAAGCTGCTATTTTATCCTCGTATCCCGTAAGAGCGTGGTCCTACCACGGTCGAGCCAACCCATTCGTGCCACAACCATAATATAGCTGAAGCGTAGCTCTACCACATAATAACGTGTTGTGCCACCAGATTCCCCTGCGTCTTTGGGGCTTTATAGCATCGATCACTAAATTATCGATTTACGACTTAATGGAACACCGACCCATTAGTTGATTATATTTTACACAATATGGTGTTTGCTAAAAGCACATCCTAACATACATAGCTAAAAATATGTCGGGGCAGTTAGGTTGTTTTTTCGTTTATCCGAAGCTTCTACTCATAACTCATTCATATCCTCTGATAATTAGTAATAGATAATTAGTTTGATAAACATTATTCGTGTTTACTTTTATAATGCAACCCGCCTCGACTTCACCTGGTTACATTTGGATGTTAAGATATATGATAATTGGGGCCAAAAGGACACCCCCCCCCCTCCCCCCCCCCCCCACCCCCATTCTCTTCACCCCCACCCCCCCCCCACCCCCACCAAAATTAATAAAAATATAAAGTTTTTTAAAATATTTTTAAGTTTTACGAATAAAATACAGTCTAGCTGTAGCATGGATCTACCACGAATATGCTCGTAGATATATCTACGTTCCTCTGTTAAAAATCAAAACGCAGATTCGTTTTTACACCTGAGGACCAAAATTGAGCCTCTTTAATTGTTTAAAAGGGTCTTTATTTATTTTCATGCCTCAAACGAAAGATATCAGAACTCTATTAAACGCAGGCAGATCTTCTGTGCGTCTGTAGTCCTTCGCCGACCAATCCATTCGTAACTTATATACATATGTAACATAATATAGTATAATAGCTTTATGTAATAGCGGTAACCGCTACAGATATATTTATATTACAATTAGGGTAATAAACGAGGATACAGTTCACCTGATGGTAAGTGAATGCGGTTGCCCGTAGACGTATTCATTTATCCACGATTAAGAATCAAAACACATATGCGTTGTCAACCTGAGGTCTAATATAGAATGCATCGTTTCCAGTAAAAGGATCTTCGGTTCTAGACAGACCTACCTTGTACTGGCAGTGTAAGAATATCCAATACTCCATATTATCCTGTAGCTGTTACAGGAGATAGGCGGCAGTGTCTTTTTAATAACGACTCAAAATAAAAAATTGCGGTTACCAATTCGCTTGCCAAGTCTGGCAACTATGGCAAATATGTCGTACAGTCTTTTAGAGTCCACTGCTGAACACAGGTCTCTCTAGATTACCTTGTGACGACAACCACCGGGATGATATGAGATAGTGAATATTCTTAACCAGCAAAATTTCTAATAATTTTGATTTCGAAGCGTCTTCAATGTGATTTGTGCATTTACGGCTACATCACTAATTAACATTAGGTGGGATATGTTATAGTTAATCACTGGCTTACAATCCGCCTATGAGGCGGGGGGAGGGGGGATCTTCAGCAGTGGACTTTTGATAGTCTGTAAGAAGTACTTACTTACTTAATTATCTTCACGCACAATCCCTAACGTTGTAGCCAGGGAGAACAGATCGCCAAGTGTCACGATCCTTACATACCTCTTTCGCTTCTTTCAGGTTCATTAACTTCTTCATACATGCACGTCTAGGTATCCGAGTACTCTTGACCTTCCCCTCTTCGAGCAATTTGCTCACATGGTCTTCGAAAGTTAGTCTAGGTCTACCTCGACACCTTTTAATATTTACTTTCGCTCTATATATTTTCTTCACCATTCGGTCTTCACTCATTCGCTCAACGTGCCCAAACCATTGGAGTACGCCCCTATCAATTTTTGTAATAGGGTCATCTTTCAATCCTGCCATATTGCGAATCTCTTCGTTTCGCTTTCGATCGGCTATGGTAACGCCACACATTTTACGAAGAGATCGCATCTCCACTGCATTCAACTTGCTTTTATGCTTCTTCTGGCATACCCAGGTTTCGCTGCCATATAACAAAGTCGGTACCAACACTGCGTTATGTATTGCAAGGCGTGCACTCTTCACCACGCCTTGTCTTTTGACTAATGCATTCAGGGCACCATTGACTTTGTTCCCGGCAGCGACGCGCCTATCCACATCTAAATCACATCTTCCATTTCGGCTGAAAGCACTCCCCAAGTATACAATTTCATTTACCTGTTCTAGACCTGTTCTGACCTACCTGTTCTGTAAGAAGTAATTAAAAATTAATGATTAATAGTCGCCCATAAATACACGGTCAGATTTAAAAACTAATTGCTGTACCCTGAGAAGGAAAGTTAGGTATTTAGCATGTGTATCATCATCATGACAGGCTTTCAAAAGTCCACTGCTGGTCCTACCTATAGATTAGGATGAGATAATTGCCATTGTTACCAGGCTTTACCACAGGTTGGTAACTGTAGTTTTTTGTTTATATTTTAAATTGTTTTCAGGAAGTTGATTTTGTTCATCTCCTGTTTCAGTTTCTCTCTGTCGCTTACGACACCCGCGGGACGATGAGGGACAGTAAATCTTCTTACGCCACTACGCGACGGACGTGTGCCTATATATGTCTGTTTGTCTTTTCCTTCGTGTACTTTAAATTATTATTTTTTGAATGTGAGGATGCGATGTGCTTATTTTTGTGTGTTCCTTCAGTTATTTAAAATAAGTTTAAATTTTTTTATAGTATAAGGCTGACAAACGTCATATTCCACCTGATGCTAAGTTGATGCTGTGGCCCATAGATATCTACTTTTATTCTCTATGCAAAATGCACCCCTGAGGACAGAGATGGAATGCCTCGTATCCAGTAAAAAGGGTCTCAGTTTCTCTACACTCACTAAACCTATTTTACGCTAGCACTCCGTGAGAGCGTGGTCCTACTTTGGTAGAGTCGACCAATTCGTGTTATAACCATAATACAGCTGAAGCGTGGCTCTATCCACGTAATGATATAATGCTTGCTGTCATCATATTCCTCAACTAATTATCTCTAACGTAGTCATAGACCACAATTTTATACAATATGGCTCTTGGCAGCTAAAAGCACATGTTAAGATACATAACTAAAGATAAAAACGAGCCGGAGCAGTTGGGTTGTTTTCCGTTAATCTGGAACTGCTACTTATGACTCATTCATATCCTCTGATAATTATAGCGTGCGATTGTCGTTTGATAAACATTATTCGTGTTTACTTGTGTACTAGCGACCCGCCGCGACTTCGTCTGTATAGAGTAGGATGTTAAGATTTAAGATATATTTTAAGAACCTATTATTAACATTACTTCGTTTAAAAAATATTCTAAGCTTTTCTGATAAACAAAACCAACAACATAAACACTCAGGCATGTCACCCAGAGGGGTAGGCAGTGACTACAGACTTCCATTTGGCACGATCCTGACACAACTTTCTCGCCTCTTCCACATCCATATACGTGTGTACTCTTAATTTGGCTCATTTTCAGTATATCGTCATTTTGGTCGATAAAACTTCGCCTAGGACGTCCCTTTTTTAATTTTCCGTTCACTTCTGTAACAAAAATTTGCTTTGCAACAAGAAAAGAGTTCTTGTTTATTCTTTTTACATGACCAAACCACCGAAGTATTCCTTTCTTAATCCTCGTCACAACATCATCTTGCAAACCACGCTCTTCTCTTGTCACACAATTTCTCACCCTGTCACTCAGATTCATCCCTAACTTCTCTATATAGAACATATGTGTATAGAGAAACAAAAAGGAAAACCATTTATACTAGAAACAAAACATTCCATCTCAATTCAGACGTAACAACGCATTTGCATTATGATACATAACTGAGGGTAGATGTCGATGTCTATGGAGTTGTCATCAGGTGACCTGTGTGCTATTTCACGCTTGTAATCTGTGAGAGCGTGATCCTTCTCCGGTCAAGTCGACCTATTTGTGCTACTACCATAATATAGCTGTACTTAGGCTTCATTACGTTAACCCTTCAGCCCCAACCCCAACGCGGCCTCATGAGACCACAGCCATATTCCGTCGAATCCCTAGCGGTCTCATGAGGTCTCACCCACCCACAGCACTTTAACCCACAAAAACTTATATATACTACTTTTCTATGAAGAAGTTTGGCATTGTATAATCAATATGTGAAATACTTTATCCTGTAGGGCATAAAAAAAACTGTTATCCTTTGAATATTGATTTATAATCTACGTTTATTTCGTACGCCATTTTCGCCTGAATATTATTGTGTTGATTTTTTGATTTTTCTAGTGTTTTATATAGTGTTATATTATAAAACTAAAGGATAGTTTTTGTGTAAA